GTGGTCAGTGTGGGTGGACAGTGTACCCAGTGGACAGTGTACCCAGTGGTCAGTGTTGGTGGACAGTGTACCCAGTGGTCAGTGTGGGTGGACAGTGTACCCAGTGGACAGTGTGAGTGTAGCTGAATGTAAAGGCTGCAGGTCTCATTGTGGAAATGACTGACTGATATTCTTCTACCTGTCAGCCCCGTGAGAAAGGCCGGATGCGATTCCATAAGTTGCAGAATGTGGGCATTGCCCTGGATTACCTGAAGCATCGACAGGTAAGAGCTTGGGACCGGAATCAAGGAAATGCTGAGTGTGGGAGGGGTGGGGGGAGGGCAGAGAATGCCCCAGGTCAGGAGACAGATGTTCCCTGTGGGTGAGGGGCATGGGTCAGTACAGTTGGGAGTGTGAAATAGCAGTGACTTGGTGAGGGAAGGCCAGTGGACAGTGGCTCTGTGTGGATTAACAGCGGTCAGAGCGAGTGACCAAAGGATGAAGGGTCAAGTACCAGCCGGCCCAGGCTGATGAGGTCACGGCCCTGTCCCAGCGGGGGTGTATAGCCTGTCCCACTGCGGGGGGGTTACAGCCCTGTCCCACTGGGGGTGTCACAGCCCTGTCCCACTGGGGGTGTCACAGCCCTGTCCCACTGGGGGTCACGACCCTGTCCCACTGGGGATCGGTCACGGCCCTGTTCCACTGGGGGGCAGTCACGGCCCTGTCCCACATTGTGGGGTGGTCACGGCCCTGTCCCACTGGGGGGCAGTCACGGCCCTGTCCCACAAGGGGGAGTGGTCACGGCCCTGTCCCACTGGGGGGCAGTAACGGCCTTGTCCCACTGGGGGTCATGACCCTGTCCAACTGGGGAGGGGTTATGTCCTGTCCCACATGGTGGGGTGGTCACGGCCCTGTCCCACTGGGGAGGGGTTATGCCCTGTCCCACATGGGGGTGACCCGGGTGGAGTGATTTAGTTCCCAGCCGTTTGTTTGATAGCCGTTTCTCTATCCCAGGTTCGGCTTGTCAATATCCGGAATGATGACATTGCAGACGGAAATCCGAAACTGACCCTGGGTCTGATATGGACCATCATCCTTCACTTCCAGGTTAGTCTGTGAGTCTGGGTTTATCAGCTGCGAGTTTGATCCAGACACATTGACTGGGGTGTGGTTACTGTACACACACTGAAAGTGAAACCCTACCCACACCTGCAGGAAAATCTTGTACCCACATCGTTAATCTGCTCAAATTGAACAATCCTTGGATTAGCTTTTAGACCAGCACCACCTCGATTAGAAAATGTGAGGAAGCGACAATTTACAGCACAGAATGTGCCTGTTCACCCTCCTCATTCCTGTGATGGCCCTTTGTAGGAACAGTCCACCTCGAGCCAATGGCCTGCTATTTCCCCAGAGATGGGCGAACATTTTCCCATCAAGATACTGATTTAATTTCCTGTTAAAAATCTCAATTGAATATACCCTGATCACACTCCCAGACAGTCCACACCTGAACTACTGGCTGGGTGAGAAAGTTTCTCTTTGCTCACCATTTCCTTTTCTTACTAATTATCTCAATCCTGTCTGCTTCCTGATCCTTCTACCAGTGGGAGGTTTCCTCCTAACGACTTTGTGCAGAAATCGCATATTTGGAGTTTTGGTGTTTATCCTCACAGCTTTTTAAAACAGGATCAAATTTGCAATTCTTCAGACCCCTGGCACTGCCTTCTACAGGGGTGTGCGATATAAATGCTGGTCGAATCAGCAGCACTGGGGACGGCCCACAAACACATAGAAAGAATGTCTAAGGAATATTTTAGCCAGGGGGTGGAGGGGACCAGGCCTTACCTTTGGTGCTCCTGTGATATTGTACATATTGGGGTACAATTGCTGTACATCCTGCAGTGACTCTGTGTGAGGATTGTTCATCTGTTCTCCCTTCCTGTATCTTGTTGATCTCATGGATTGTCACTATGTTGGGAGCTGTACCCCCAGGAGTTCTGCCACCGCTGGTCTGCTCAAGAAATATTACAGAGTCACAGAATCAGAGAATTATTACAGAATAGAAAGAGACCATTTGGCACATTGTGCCAGCTCTGGTTCTATCCCCGAGTGCTAATCTCTCACACCCGCACCCTTCTCCCACACCCCTGCACACCATTTCTATCCACATAACCATCCAGTGTCCCTCTTCAATGCCTCAATGGATCCTGCCTCCCCAACATTTCCAGGCAGTGCATCCCATTCCCTTACTACTTGTTAAGTGACCATTGTTTGCGGTTTCCATGTGGAGTTGCCATAGCTACGTTGCATTGTTAATGCACCATGCAAGGGATTGCCGCTGATCTACCATTGAGTTCCATCAATCCTGGTCCATGTACTTCACAATCCACACTGGGAGGGGCTTTACACAAAATCCCATGTCACTCTTGGTTTAGAGTGTGTGCTTGCAGCTTTCTTTAGTCTAATGCTGTTTTTATAGGAGCACAGGAACAGGAGTGGGCCTGTCCCACCATTCAATGAGATCATGCTTGATCCATGATCTAACTCCATATACCTACCTGCCTTTGGCCCATATCCCTTTATACCAGTGCTTAACAAACTTAAAAAAACTTTAAAATTATGAGCTGATTCAGCACTCTCTGCCATTTTGTGGAAGAGAGTTCCAAACTTCTGCCACCCTCTGTGTGTCGAAGTGCTTCCTAACATTGCTCCTGAACGGTCAGACTGCCTTCCCCCCCACCCGCTCCCCGCTCCCCCCACCAAACTCAAGTTCTAGAATCCCCAAACAGACAAAATAGTTCATCTTTATCGACTCTGTCTTTTCCTGTTAATTGTTCATTGGATGAGGACGTTGCTGGCTAGGCCAGCATTTATTGCCCATCCTTGATTGCTCAGAGGGTTGTTAATAGACCATATTGCTGTGGGTCTGGAGTCACATGTAGGCCAGACAAGACGACAGATTTCCTTCTCTAAAGAACATTAGTGAACTAAAGAGATAACAAGGTGTAGAGCTGGATGAACACAGCAGGCCAAGCAGCATCAGAGGAGCAGGAAAGCTGACGTTTCGGGCCTAGGCCCTTCTTCAGACAAACATTTTCTGAAGAAGGGTCTAGGC